TCTATGAGGGAAGTCCTACCAAAGGGCATACCTGCAGCATACAGAACAGCTAAGAATGCCTTATTTTTTCTGTTCTGTTTTCTCTAAAACATAGCAGGTATAGCTAATAGTACATAGCACTACTCCATAAACCAGACTTCTACTTTCAGCAAGCAGCATCTCCTAGGGAAACAGCAGGCAAAGCTTGCATCTTACCTGGCTTTCAAGCTCAGCAGAATTAGCAGATGCCATGTCTTCAACATAATTTGATGGAAAATAATGTTGTACTTTTTCTCCATAATCGCCCTTCCACCTGAATTTAAAACAAATAAGGACAAAGACAGAAGAAACAAAAAACCTCAGTAGGTCATTAATGAAGAAATAATCCTCAACTAATTGGTTAATAACCAATGCTAGCTGGCCCTATTTGGCTACCACCAATCTTAAAGTGATGAAGTAGGTAAAAGCACTGAATGATCATTAACAGGTGATTTCAGAGGGATTACAGCTACTGTGAAGTGGAATTAATGATATAAAAGGCTTTTATCCCCTCCAGTACTAAAAATACTATCACATGGTTGATAGTCCTGCAGAAACTATAACGAAACATTGAATTCCCAAACTTTTTGAGCAACTTGCAAGCCAGCTATGACCAACACAAAAACAGACTATACAGATAACCAAACCAAACCAGCTGAAAAAAAAATGATCTGGTTTACACCCTCAAAAGTATTATGCAGAGCAAGGAAGGAAACACAGTAATGATGACAATTATAATAGGTGCCTGACTACCCAGAAGACACAAGTGTTCAGTAAGGACAAATGGAGTAAAGGACAAATGCTGGACACACTGGGATATGAAGGCTCTACCAGGCTGAGGTTATTGCTGTAGACAATGGAGAAGACATGAAAGGAGACTTGAGGTGGGGTTTTTTTTGGGTTTTGTTTTGGCATGTTGGCATTGTGATTTGTAAGTCCACAGCTCGCAAGTAGCAATCAGACAATGGGCAGAATTTACAAACTACTACCCAAAGTGACTTTTTTTCTACCTAGTAAGTCACTAGAAGTTCTCCTATGAGGAATCCTTGTCCTTACCAGCCTCCAGTTTCCTTGGTGACATTATGAATTAGAGCCCCTCGGCAGAAGCTCAGTTCATCACTTCTTTTGGCTCTGTAGTCGTATAAGGCTTTCACTGTTCTCTGGGGCTTTAAGAGAAACAAAGAAAAAGGGTCAGGATAGGCAGACAGATCAGAACATGATCAATAATACAATCTTTAAAAGAGAGGCAGGGGGTGGGATTAGAGCCCTTTTTTCTTATGAAATTTAAAAACCTTAAGAATAAAGTTCCAGAGTGACATCTATTGGCAGAACAAAAGTGATGCTACTTAACAGCTATTTTTTTTTAAGTATCAGCTAAGAAAAAATAATTTCCTTTATGAGTGCTGCAATATTACAGTAAAACAAAAGCAGTGAGCAATCAATCCTCTGTCTTTGTTACCTGTATTCAAACACAGTGGGAGCTTGCAGGCTTTGATGCAGTTTAAGAGACTCTGCCTCAAAACTGCATAACCTATCCAAATGGTATACTTTCCTTTGGGAAAAACTCCAGTTTTAACAAGAAAAGAAATTTCAGAAATGTCTTTATCTTGCATTTACTGCTAGTTAAATTATTCAATAGCGACACAAATTTATTAGTCAAAAAAAGACTAATTAAGAAGAATTACAGCCACAAAATTTGCAAGCAGCGAGCTTTTGTGAGAAATTAGATCACACGGGCCTTAACAAAAAATAGAGATATGTAGATGTTTGCCATGCCACTCCTTTTTAAAACATTATATATTAACTAAAGACACCACTTATATATAGAAAACACAATGAAAATCTGGACATCCTTATGCAAACAAACTGCTTTTGCTAGTAGAATTCTGAAAATTTTGTGCACAAATAGCAGTGCTCATTTAAGAAACACACTCAGGTTTTGTGTGTTTTGTTCTACTTACATAAAGATTTGGCCTCCTCAGATTGAATCTTCTCTTTGGCTAATTAATTTCTGGGCACATCTACATAAGCAAATCACCTCCACAGACCCAACAGCACAATGCCTGATTCCTCAGTATAGGGGGAATTGATACAGGATTTGCACAAAGAAAATGTGTGTGTGCAAATTGCAAAGAGAAACTGGGAAAAAAGTCACACTCTTTATGCTCCCCATCCCTCCATAAATCAAGCAGACTAACACTTTCAATTATCCTTTCCATTACTGCTGATAGGAAATTGACAAACGATTATTATCTTTTCCAAAGTATAAGAGAAAGCATGAAGAATATCCTTCCTTAAGCATACCACTGTAGGGGTGATTTCACTGGGTTCCACGTACATCTTGACATCATAGAGAGAATTAATATCTTTTTCCTAAAAAAGCAAGATAAAAGTTATGTGAGTTGAAAATCACAAAAATACTCATTGCTAACATATCAAGAAAACTATGTAGAAACCACCTTTTTAACTATACGTGGGCAAACAGAAAAGAAGGGAAGCCAGACACGTATGTTTTGACATATCATTTAATCTGTCTATGCTTCAATTCAATCAACACTCCTATCTTATAGATAAGAAAACTCATGCACAGACTGAAGTGATCCACCTAAGCAGCCCAAAAGGTCATTTATTACCACCAGAACCGAACCCAAGCATCCCAAGTCTAAATGTGGGACTTTGTCCTCTACAACAACTGCCTCTTGTGCAAAGACCATCACTGACCGTGCTGTAGCGCTCCAGTAGCTCCTCCGTCACCGGGTAGCGCAGTTTCATCTTCCTGTAGAGCGGATGCTTCTCATAGTACGTCACCAGCTCCACCAAACTTTCAAAATAGGCTGAGGTTCCAAGCACAAAGTGGCGGCCTTCTTGCTGAATTCGGAAGTGCTTCACTTTCCCCTCAGCTCTGCAAAGCAGGTTCAGGGACGGTAAAAATGCTGCTATTCATGCTAGGGAAAACCTCCACTGCTGCAGATCAGGCCATAACTTTCTGCATTTTTAATATGCAACATAATTCTTCTTTTCCCCAAACTTAATTAAATTCACAAGCATTCATTCTTTTCCACGTGTTTGCCTACACAGAACTTTCCTACTTTTCCCTTCACTATACAGAAGTTTCCTGTCACTTCCATACTTTTTAAATGAGAAAAACAAAACACTGTGAACCTTGTAGGTAATACAGTCATATCCATCTTCTCCTACCTGAAAGTCATGGCAAACGAATCTGGTTCGTCCCTTTTTCTAATCAGAAAAGCACCGTCTCGAGGAATTCGCATCAACATGTCTTCTGCCTCTCCCCGACTCAGGTTACTATAATACCAGCTACAAAAGTTAAAATCAAAATGGACAAAGAATTACAAAGCTGGTCAAATGTCATTCAGTAAGAAGAAGCAGGGTTCCTAGTGTTAGAGACTCAAACATTACAAGAAAAATTATGCATCATATCTGCCTGCCACCTGTGACAGCAGTTATTACAAAACACTAACATGGTAACTTATTTGAGATGAAACCATCCAGAAGATATCATAACACCTTGTTTCTTTAAAAGAATAAAACATAAATCAGCATTTCTCCTAAAACGAAAGTCACTGGATCCATGGAAACACAACTCAGCTTGGACTTATTTCCCCAGTAGTAGAATTTCCAGATAGCACAGACCATGATCACTTAGTTGCCAGACCACGGCCATCTACTAAATCCAACCTGCAGGGCACCATAAACCACTAAGCAGGGAAGAAAGGAATTAGCACAGTTTCAAAGCATTACAGTTCTCACTGACCTTCCCAATTGCTGACAATATATTGCTTTCCTAGGGACTGCTCCCTGATTTCTCAGGTTTTCACAAAGTCAAGGCTCTTGCTCAGCTTCCTTGAAGGAAGCTTATTTCTACAATGGCTGTGAGCAAATAAAACCTCAGGCGTGCTCCAGAACCCAGAGGAATTTTACAGGCAAAGGCACAAGACCATCTAAAACAACACAAAGGAATTCTGACTTAACCACCCTGCTGCTTGCCTTCTGCACTACGTACTCTTTAGTCTCATGAGGGCTGGGGTTTGGCACAGCATCGGTCAGGCGCAGTTCAAACTCGGCACATCGGAGGTGGGCCTCCTTGTAGTGTTGAATGAGATCATAGATACTATCAAAAGTGAGGTTGTCTGTCAGGTAGTATTTCACATTGTCTCCATCGCCTGAAGAACGAATACGGCAATGCTGGACTCTCCCTGACCTCCTAAAAAATGAAGAAGAAATAAGGAAAAGAAGGGTAACATAAGAATTTTTCCTCTGTAAGATCGTATCTCATAAGGTTCCAACAAGAAAAAAAGTCACCAAAAAGTCTTTACTCTTTTCCTTCCAGAGGTATTCTTTTCACTGAAAAGATCAATCTCCGACAATAAAAATGAACTCCTGAGACTACCTGTTCAGTATGGATACCAGTGATTTATCTCAAAATGAAAGACCAAATTTTAGTCAATTTAGCACTATGCTATGCTGAAGTTTAATCTAGAAAGTGGTCTTTCACAATCCCACCAATAACATTCTAGTAAAGATAACAACTTCTTATTACTATTTCCACTTAGCTGTAAAAGCATGATTTAAAAAAATGAGCTACTTTTGCACAATGAAATAAAATAAACAATGCCCACGTAGAATTTTTAGGACAATCGCCATACCAGAAGGACAAGGTGCAATCATTAGGAAAAGCTTCACTTTCTCTAACCAGGAATGTTCCATCCTGGCCACCCGTTTCAGCACAATATTCCTGGAGCAGCCTTTCAGCAGTTGTTCTCCCCTCTTTCATTTTCCCATGGAACCACTTCTCTTTCAAGTGCAGTTCAGTGCGTTTTACCTCCTAGACCAGAAGAGAAGAACGTCTATAGTCCACTTCTAATGTTATGATTTTGATACAAAAGCTTATTGATACAATTATCTCCCATATTGGGATTTCAGCTCATATTTTGCTGAAAGCTCCCACTGCCACTTCCCCAAGAACCACCTGAAATTGCTTACACATTAATTGTTCCATTAACATTAACACTTATGAGAAGGAGTATGTGTTTCTGCCCATGTAGACAGCAAATCTCTGAACCATACACATAGATGTTGGCAATGAGAAAGCACTCAGGCTCTCAAGAAGAAACTGTGCTGAATATCACTGCTATTGCAGCCCTTACTGAGCCTCGTGCTGGTGGCTTTGACATGAGCAAGACGTAGACAATACACATTCACCTGTAACAAGCCCTTTGATAACATGAAATGAACAGTATGCATTGTCATGCTATATTATTATATATCAAACCTAATTTCATCATATTGTGTAGCTAGAGAATAGCAATAACAATTAGTCAAAGGCATGTAACTCATAATAAAGACTTTGTCAGTGCACACAGCAGCTTAATTCCAGTAGTTAAATGCTAGTATTCCATTGCCCTTATACTTCTCTTTATAAGGCTTAAGTTAGTCAACGAACAGAGACATTTAATTAAAAAGAAGTTCATCAGAATGGATTGGTAAAGGCCCTTAACTCTTATTATCTGACACAGATTCCTAAGATTTCAATAATTTCAGCACCTGTAAACAATGAGAGAATCTGAAAGGACAAATTTGTTCATTAAAAAGCTTCTTTAAAAGCTCACCTTCTTCATTTCACATTAAAGAGAAATAGGTAACTATTCTCTTGATGCAGGCATCTCATTCCCATCCACACCCCAAGCGGCAGATGAGGAAGCATGAAACTATTAGATCAATTTGAATACTTCAGTTGCATGCAAACAGGAAATATAATTAACAAAAAGAGGACCAGACTATAGACTGAGTAAAGGTGTTTCATTTTCTTCAAACTTTTTTCATGGAAGCAGAAAAAAAACTTCTGTTCAGAAATCCGTAATAGAATAAATCTTGTCTGGCTTCAGGCAGGAGGAAAACTCATTATTAAGCTCTCAAAACTAGTGACTTTAGTCTAGTCTAGTTTTAGTTTCTTCAGCCTAACAACTGCAAAGAAATCCAAGCGTAACCAACTCTAACTGGGGGAAGGAATACATTTACACAACAACACAGAGCCATCACCTTTGAAGAATCTTCATCAACATTCTGTTCAATGTCATCACTGAATGAAAGCTTTTCATCTGCAATAGCACAGTAGTGCCGAGTCCATTTCTAAAAGGTAAAGCAAATATTAAAACCATTACCAGGACAAACAGCCAAGCCACCAATCACAACTTCCAAGAAGGTCTAACAATAAACAAAGTGCCTTCTTGCCCTCCCTCACATCAGTTCGAGTGAGAATATTACTTACAAAAATATTGATGACATTTGTGTATACCTCCTATATTGCACATTCTAGTAACAAACTGTTGTGTCATATAAATTCTACCTGTTCTATTGTGTCCCACATGTAAAGTTCTCCTTGTTGTTTCTTTTCTTCTTTCTTATCTTCCAGGTTCACATCAATGTCTCCTTTTGGACCCAATTTTTTATGCTTTAAAAAAAATGTATATAAGATTGGTCATTCTAACTCAGTATAGCTCAGTATAGGCTGTAATTTACCTCCATTGCCCAGCTTTCTCCTGTAAGAAAGATTTTAATATAAAAAACAGCATTTCCACATGCTTTATATAGTAAGGGTCAAATATTTTGCCTAGAAATTTAGATTTAGTACGACTAAAGGTTGAAAACTTTGCAGAGATGTCATTCAAGCAATGAGCAAACAACAGTTTTCTAACTCAGTATAGCTCAGTATAGGCTGTAATTTACCTCCATTGCCCAGCTTTCTCCTGTAAGAAAGATTTTAATATAAAAAACAGCATTTCCACATGCTTTATATAGTAAGGGTCAAATATTTTGGCTAGAAATTTAAATCTCGTACTCAAGGTTGAAAACTTTGCAGAGGTGTCATTCAAGCAATGAGCAAACAACAGTTTTGATAAGAGCTCCCCATTCCTCTGAGGACAGAAAACATGAAGCAATGTTTGCCTAGCATAAAAATAAGGCTAAAAAGGAACCACTCAGAAGAACAGGACATAGTTGCTACATATGAAACAGCACAGATCACAGCATCTGTAAGAAACCCTTACAGAGGCTGCTTTCTATCAATGAGACCTCAGTTTTCAGACACATCTGTGTAAGTTACACATTTAAAAAAGCACAGTTTTTGTGTATGAGTTATGAAATAATCATCTATTTTTGCAATTTTCTAAGTAAACAATTCTGACAACTTAAGTGCTTTAGATTTCACTACAATGAGAGGCATTCTTTGAAAGACCTGTTAATACCATTAATCTAACTTTCTATCCTAGAGCATACTTTTCTCTGTACAAGAGGTCTATGATGAGATAAATTACACACATAAAAAAAGCACAGTTTTTGTGTATGAGTTACAAAATACTCATCTATTTTTGCAATTTTCAAAGTAAACAATTCTGACAACTTAAGTCTGCAGCCTTCATAGTGCTTTAGATTTCACTATAGTGAGAAGCATTCTTTGAAAGACCTGTTAATACCATTAATCTAACTTTCTATCCGAGAGCATACTTTTCTCTGTACAAGAGGTCTATGATGAGCATCTGCGCCAGCAAAACCTTGGTCAAATTTAGCAGTAACATTTCAGAAGCTGGAAGGTCTTTAGAAAAGGGCTGACATTTCATCTGGTACTTGAACTAGCAACGTTACTTGCAAATAAGACCAACAACGAGCAACTCAATATGCATTTTAACAGAATTCCATAATATGTTGGCAAATTTCAGTAATACAGGCTTTGAGCATATGGATTCTTATCCGCAGCAGAAAGCAGCAGCTATGTTGTGAAGCCAGAAGAAGCACTCTTGGCTTCTGCTTTTGCTTTTCTATTTTATCTACAAGGTCACAATACAAGCCTGAAAACCTACCTTGATGATGATTTTTTCTTTCAGCTGGGTTGGTGATGGCAACTGATCTGCACTGGCTTCGACGGGTTTTGTTAAAAGCTGATCCCCAAATACCTCCTTGAACACTTTGGCCATGTGTCGCTGCTGTTCCACACTGCAGTGCTCTTCAATTGACAGAATGACGGGGTACCTTGGATGAAGTAAACACAGGTAAAAGCAAACATTCAGTTTCTGACATCCAGAAAATATTTCTACATCCCTCCTGGGCAGCCTACCCCTGCTGCACATAGGGAAAGCATCGCAGTATGTTCACCCTACAGTCAGAAACTGTCCCGCATGAGAAAAAGAACACTTCTCTCCTGTGTCCATCTGAAAACAGGAGAAGTAGGGGGCACAGGGAAGAGGAGTCTGACAGCCCCATCTCTTTCCCAACTGATGGGTAACACCTTTCATGTTAAGGAGCTCTCAGCACAGGGTCTAGAAGAGCAGACACAGATTTAAATCCATATAACCAGCTCAGGCAGCACGCTATGAATTCTACCTCTTTCTCAGCTAAGGCCTCCCTACAATGTGAACACTATCTCATAGATATTTTACTTGTCATCTATAGAGTTTGGGTTTTTTTTTTTTTTAAAGACATACTATTCAGAATATGAAGTTGCATGTTTCAGCTTAATGGAGGAATCCAGGAATGGAAATAGGAATGCCTTTAGGGTACTCACCATCTATCTCAGTAGCAAATTGTTATGTAATGGGACTCTTTCTCAAAATTGAATCTATTAAAAAGCCATATCAGGACATTACTGAAAAAGGCTAGGATATCATTCTCCCCACCCCATTTTTTTTTTTCTCTCCTGAATTGATGAGGAATGATCTAACCATTCAAAATCAGGCTTAAGAAAATATCAAAACCTACTCAGATGCAACAAAAGCATGGTCTTTTATTGCCTGCACTACATCATCAAATTTGATCTTTGTTGTCCGTGTCCATCCATGATATATGATTGGTTTCCCATCTGGACCATCCCAGCAATCCACTAAGAAAGACAAGCAGAAGAAAAAAGATAAAACCAAGCAGCTACTTAAACTATACCAGCAGAAAGAATACAACATGCACCTAATTCTTCAAAGTATTTCATACTGTGAGTCATAGACTTTTATGTTCTGCTGAAATATTCTATTAGGTGGCTTTATATCTCTCGCAGAGGAGATTAAATTCACTTAAGTAAGAGCAATACAAATAAAATACAATATAAAGTTTCCCCAAAGCATTTTCATTAGGGAATCTTGATGTTAGGAACTCAGGCAGCTAAACTGTCAGTTCATTAGTTTACAATAACGGTCCAAATGGTAAATAAACTCCCACAAGTGATATTGTTGGCAGTTTATCCATTTTGTTGGTTATTATGCTAAAACTCTAATTTAAGATACATTTTGCATTAACCAAACTAAACAAGATCCTTGTTAATTATGACAAAAGATGATCAGCCTGTAGCAAGCAGTTTAACAAAGTAACTGGTGAATTAACATGAAAATCGAGTCAAACCTTGCAACCCTGAAATAAGATACACAAGCACAGTGATGAAGAAGCTTGCACAAATAGTAGAGAACAAAGGGACAAAGCCAGGAACTGATTTACAAATGAGTTAAATGGAATGACAAATAGCATAAAATTTTAAGAAACTCAAAAACTTTGCCTTGTCTGTATCAAGAATGAAGGTAATAAGCTATGCCTTAAACTTCTTTCTATAGCTACCGCACATGTAATACAAGTTTGAATGTTATATTCTCATATAGTAAACCAGTGATTGAATTACTGGTATACGAGGAACACCAGTTTTAGAAAGATCTGGAAATTCCAAGGAAACAGGGTTTTTTGTTTGTTTGTTTTTCCTTTTCTTCTAAATCTTAAACAGGGGAAACTGCCTCTCTGGGGAGAATGTTACAAACCATTCCATGAGCTCATTACTCACACTCAATACATCGACATCCCATTCTCAGGCACCTGATATAAGCTTCTGTGGAGGATTCACTTCGAAGCTGATCTCCTGTCAGGTATCTAAGGGGAAAAGGACATTGTAATGTTGTAAGAGCAGACAAGCAGTCAATTTAAACAATTTCCCACCTGCTCAGCAGGGCTCATTTGTCCTCCTATTGGGAAGCATTGGGGTTTGTTTGTTTGTTTTTTAATTGAACTTGCTATGGAACAAATTGGAATTTTTTTTGCTGATCAGATATTACCACATTTCAGGACTGACCAGTTTGTAGAACTGAAAAGGCTGAGCTAACGGATTTCTGGAGGGTATATTACAAGCTCTGAAACACACCTAAGGTTCACCATACTGAAGGGAAATCATGCCTTTGAACACAGACAGATAATGAGGCTTTCGCTAACTTACGTGTTATGAGAGGAAGAGATCCAGTAGTGGGACAAGGGATTATTCATATCCTGCGCATCTATTGATTCATATTTCTCATCCCAAATACTGTTCTCTTTTGCAAAAAGGTAGGTGAGAAACTAAAATACAAAGAGAGACCAATTCTAAATGCTTCTGAGCATACAAGGCCAAAAGAAATCCAACAACATAGTAAACAGCAGCCTAAAGAATCTGCCACACAATTAACAAAGCAGGAACTAGTAATTAAGGAAAAATGCCCATGAGGAACAACTGGAATGTATTATTATCTCACCTCAT